TCCCTTCCCTTCCCTTCCCTTCCCTTCCCTTCCCTTCCCTCCCTTCCAAAGAGCCTTTCAGCCTGGGCTTTTTTCCATTCTCGCCAGCTTCATACCCTCAAATCCGTCTCCATCTGGAACAAAGCAATCCTAGTTTGTTCTCTATTTTATAAGAAAAGTGCATGTTCCAGATTGGACTCAAGCTATCCCCAAACAGCTGTTCCATGCATGTAACAGTTTGTGCATGAATCATTTAGCAGGTCCCCACTTAAACGTCTTTATAATGTGTCCATATGTGATCACTGCTCTGCTGGCTAAATTTCTCTATTCCATCCTGTTTTCTCTTACAGCTTGCACGGGTTTCTGGAGCCGCAAGGTAAGGACCATTCTTCCAAGGGAGATGGGAAAAGTAATATTGGGCGAGGGGATTTCTTTTTCAGTCTCACAACTTTTTATGAGAAGCTATCTTATAACGTGGGAACTCAGTCCATGTTGCTCACTTTTTGCCCATCTCTTTTCAGTCTATTAAGTGTGATTCTTTTTCAGTCTTCCCTCCTTAAGTCATAGAATATATATAGGATATTTTGCATACATAAAATAGGTTATGTCATTGATCTCCGCATGTTGTAAGGTTACGTTACTGTGACTTGAAGATTGAATAAAATTATGTTGCACTAGAACAGTACTAGGGTGTATTTTTTTCAGGAGTAAGAGCTTAACTGGCTTCAGAAGGATGGAAGGCTGAGTCAGCCTTGAGCCAGATCGAACTGCCGGCAGTAGGCAGAGTTAGCCTGCAATGCTGTATTCTAACCATTTCACTACATTCAGAAGATGCAGCTAGTCCAGAATGTGGCAGTGCAGGCACTGGTGGGCGTGTTATACCCATGGGATCCCACCTCTCCACAAGCTGCACTGGTTACCCATAGGCTTCTGAGTACAATTCAAAGTGGGTTGTCTCCTTTAAAGCCCTTCATGTATCTCACTCATTGTCATATTTCTTGTTGATTCTAACCATTGCGCCAGCCGTGGTGGTGCAGTGGTTAGAATGCAGTGCTGCAGGCTACTTCTGCTGGCTGCCAGCAGTTCGGCAGTCCAATTCTCACCGGGTCAAGGTTGACTCAGCCTTCCATCCTTCCGAGGTGGGTAAAATGAGAACCCAGATTGTTGGGGGCAAGAGGCTGACTCTGTAAACTGCTTAGAGAGGGCTGGAAAGCACTGTGAAGAGGAATTATAAGTGCTACTGATAGTGCTAGTCATGACATTATAAAGCTACATTATTTGTGGGACTGCCTGTCTCCAGCTGTTTCTGTCCATTCAATGAGATCGCACAGATCTCTATGCTTTGGAGCCCAACAACTAAACAACATCATCTAGCAGGATCCTGGAAATGTGTCTTTTTTTAATGTGGTACTTGGCCTCTGGAATAATATCCATGTCCTTGAGTACAGGTTCCCCACAGGGTTGTTTCTTCAGCCCTCTACTGTTCACTTTGATGACCCACGACTGCTGTGGCAAATCTGCTACGAAACATATTGTGAAGTATGCAGATGCCACGTGGGTCTTATCTGGGATGAAATTGAGGTTGCTTATAGGGAAGAGGTGAAGGTTCTGGTGGACTGATGCAATTAAAGTGACCTGATTCTAAATGTTAATAAAACAAAGGAGGTCATTGTAGATTTTGGAAAGAGCCGGCATAGTCATATTCCACTCAGTATCAAGGATGCAGCTGCAGAGGTGGTCAACAGTATTAGATATCTGTGGGTGAAGATAACTAACAACTGGAACTGGTCTCTCCACCTGTCATCCTTAGTGAAGCATGGAAACCAGCACCTGCATTTCCTGTGTCAGATGAGGAGCTTTCTTCTTCTGTCCTGGCCACTTTTTACAGAGGCACGGTTGAGAGCATTTTAACAAACCGCATCATTGTTTAGTTTGGTGGCAGCAGCACCTCAGATAGAAAGTCCCTACAGAGAGTGGTGAGGACAGCGGAGAAGATTATAGGAAGCTTGCTTCCTGTCATTCAGGATACTGCTTATAAGCGCTATGTGCTTAGAGCTCAAAGCATCGTTAGAGACCCCACCACACCCACTGTTTCTGTTGCTCCCCTCTGGTAGGAGATTTAGGACGAGTGGACTTCAACTCCCAGAATTCTTGGAGTCCACTCATCTTAAAAGTTGCCAAGAAAAATTCGGGTTTATAGGGTTGTCTCTAGCTACTTATGAATTTTTCTGTTTTTTGGTACTGGGAACATGGTCCAGAACCATCCATGGTTGAGCAGCTTCTAAATTGCCAAAATAAATACATTCAGATGAATTGAAATGACAGCTATATGGTTCTTGGTTGTAAATACAGACCAATACTTACATGTCATAATTTTTGAAGATTTCACAGATTGGAATTTTGTTTTGTTGTTGGTTCAATTTATGGTCTGTATTAAGGAATATAGTAGAAAGTCTTCAAGTTGAAAATGGAGAAAAATTATGTAGCCAAGAGAGGGATAACAAATAATAAGACCTTTTGTTTAATCTACTATATATGCATATATTTTGTATTGTTCATTCCTTCTTATGCTGTTTGAACTATTTTGAACTATTTTTCTTCAAAGGGATCTGATTAGTCAAGTATTAGTCAAGCAGAATACTCATATACAAATCTGGTTATCTTTCTTTGCCCATAACAGTCTTATCTGAATAATTTGGTAAAATATCTCTTAATATGCTGTATTTACTAGCATTAGTAAATTTAATATTAATAAATCAAGCAAGCAGTTTAATAGTTAAACCGCTAACAATTAAGCAATTAAAATTAATTTTCCTAGCATTCGTTAAATTAATTCACTGTTAATTTAACAGGAAATGAATCTTAACAGTAAAATTTATTTTGCTGAAGTAATCACAATGGTTAATGATCCTCCAACTCAACTTAGGTTGCTTATTAACTCTGGTGAATATTGCTACCCACAGTATCCTTCTTCTAAAACAAGGGTCTTCAAACTTGGCAAGTTTAAGACCAACTCCCAGAATTCCTGAGCTAACATGACTGGAGGAGGAATTCTGGGAGTTGAAGTCCACAAGTCTTAAAGCTGTCAAGTTTGAAGACACCTGTTCTAAAATAAACAATAGCTAAAATGGCATCTTCTGTTAAAAGGGGAAGAATGAATATTTGGGATGTTATTTAATTCAGAAAGACTTGCTTTTTATACCTAAAGGGATTTGAACGCTCTTAAAATCCAGAGACAATGTCATATTTTATTTTTTAGAGCTAGTAAATCCACCGTATCTTTGTTTTTTGCAAGCGTACCCAATTCCTCCACTATCTGCAGAAGAGGTCCAGTCCAGAGCCAAGCGAAGAACGCGACAACATGTTGAACATGCAGAGGAACCAGAGATCCGAAATACTCTCGCCAAGGGGTAGCACTGCCAACGGACAAGCACCGGAAAGAATGACCCCATTAACAGTTTCCTCTCCATCGGAGGTAACCAAAATGTCAAAATGTTGTGGTTGTTAGTCACACCCAACTGGCTTGCATTCACAACCATTTGCAGTGTCTTGTGATAGCAATAGCATTTAAGCTTATATATTGCTCCACAGTGCTTTGCAACACTCTTCGGGTGGTTTTATGATGTGAGCATATTGCCCCCAACAATTTGGGTTCTTGTTTTATCAACCTTGGAAGAATGGAAGATTGAGTCAATCTTGAACCGGTCAGGATTGAACTTGGGACTGTGGGCAGAGTTTGCCTGCAATACTGCATTATAACCACTGCACATGTGGTATACCACGTGATTGTAGCTTTTGACCTTTTTTTGCCAGCTTCTGGCAAAAGCACCCATTCAGAACAATGGGTTCGTACTTACACCATGGTGATTTGCTTAACAATCATCATAAAAATGATGGTCATAAGTTTGGGTCCAACTTGACTTATGACTTACGATGAATATTCCAATCCCAATTATGGTTGTAAATTGAGGGGCAGGTTCTTAATTTCATGAATGCAATTGAGTTCGAATTTTTTCAGCGAGCGTGATGGCTCAGCTGTTAAAGATGCTGGGTTTGTCAGCTGCGAAGCTAACAGCCCAGGTGCCGCATGATAGGGTGAGCTCACATTACCTGCCCCAGCTCCTACCTACTTAGTGTCAGGATACCAGTAGTTGCCCTAATTAGCCAAGAGTCATCAATCACGTTCTCCAGTTAGAGATTTGGAGGCAGAAATTCTGGTAGCTTAGTTATAATCTTTTCAAGATAAGAATGGAATGCACTTTCGTTTCCAAACTTGCTGCCCTGCTCTTTCAAATTTCTTCCCTCCCCATCTCCTTCTGTTCATGGCAACTCTAAAACAGGCATAGATATGTTTTATGAGTTGACATTTAGCAGTGTTGTGGTTAGCTGGCAGCAGGTGTGGGCGGCTGAGGAGAGCAAGGACTCAAATGAGGGGCCAGGACCATTAGGGAGTGGGCTGCTACCTCAGATATTGTGGGGGCTGGCAGCAGTGATGAGGAGGTTTCTGAGGAGCCTGTGCTAAGTACACGTGCGTGCAGGATTGCTCGTAGGAAAGAGCAGCTACAACAGCATGGGCGACTCAGAAGTAAGGCTGCAAGGTAACGGCCCCTCCTTCAAGAAGATAAAAGCCAGCTGTGAATCGGACGTTCTTTGCAGAAGGCAAAGACGTTTTGAAACTCCAGCCTCGTGGACATTCCAATATCCTGAGTTTGTATTTGAAGATTCTTGTGTTCCAAATTATTTCTTGTCTGTTATCTTTTGGCAAGTCTCGCACAGTTTGGCAAGGCTTGTGCTTATCACAGCTAATTACAGGTATTTTGTAAAAGCATTACAAGGTTTCTGTTCCTTTTGGATTGTGTTTGATTTGTTGGAAAAGGGCGTGGGACAGAAGCAGTTTGAAAGCATGCAAATGCAAGTAGATAAATAGGTACCACTTCAGTGTGAAAGTAACAACGTTCCGTGCACCTTAGTGTATAGTCATGCTGGCCACATGGAAATGTCTTCAGACAACACTGGTTCTCCTGCTAAGAAACTGAGGCGAGCACCACTGGAATCAGACATGACTGGGCAAGAGAAACCTTTACCTTTTCTATTCTTTCTCATTACAGGTAGGTCGAGGACATGCAGCAATGAAGAAATTAGTTCCTGTAAATGGCAGGAACTCAACAGAAAGTAAGTGCTCTTAAATTCTTTCAAGTTAATCTGGATTCTTTTTGCCAGAACTCTCCTTCAACTATAATGGTATTAGGTATATAGTAAAACTAGAACATAGAACAGTAGGGTTGGAAAGGATCTAACCCTCTGCTCGACCCTGTATCATTGTGGACAAATGGTTGGCCAGTCTTTTTTTCAAAACCTCCAGTGATGAAGCACCCACAACTTCTGGATGTAAGTTGTTCTACTGTTGATTATTCACACTGACAGGTACCATAATTTCTCCTTGGTTCTCTCTCTCTCTTAGTTGGATCTCTCTTTGATAAGCTTCCACCCCTTACTTCTTGTCCTTCTGGATTCACAATCCAACATTGTACTCTATTCTTTCCTGTTAGAAGTGCTTCACTGACTCCACCAAGGATACTCCATTCCCTTCCTCACCTTTCTATCGTCTGCTGCTTCCAAATCAGATCCAGTGTTTGAGAGATGCTCAGCCTCACTGGCTCAGTTTTTACCACAATCCAGTTAGGATTTATCTCCTATTGGTTCTACATTATTAAGAAGGAGGGATATCTGGACATACCTGGAAGTCGCCAGGTATGTTGTAGAAAAATGAAGGCAAAATTTGGTCTTCTCTTTCATTCCTGCTTCCAGGTGAGACCTTAGAGGTGTCAACATTGCTCATGTTTTAACAGATTAAAGAGTTGGATGGGACCTAGTATCATAGGTCATCCAGTCCAACCCCCCGCCCAAGCAGGAGAACCTACCCCATTTCTGACAGATGCCAGTCCAATCTCTTCTTGAAAGTCTCAAGTGATGAAGCTCCCACAACTTCTGAGGGCAAGCTGTTCCATTGGTTGATTATTCTCACTGTCAGAAAGTTTCTCCTTATCTCCAGGTTGAATCTCTCCTTGTTCAGTTTCCATCCATTATTCCTTGTCTGGCCTTCAGGTGCTTTGGAAAATAGCTTGACCCCTTCCTCCTCTCTGGGGCAGCCCCTCAAATATTGGAAGCCTGCTATCATGTCTCCCCTTGTCCTTCTCTTCACTAGACTAGCCATGTCCAGCTCCTGTAACCATTCTTCATATGTTTTAGTCTCTAGTCCCCTAATCATCCTGGTTGCCCTTTTCTGCACTTTTTCTAGAGCCTCAACATCTTTTATATAATGTGGTGACCAAAACTGGATGCAGTATTCTAGCATTGTCTTACTAAGGCTTTATAGCGTGATATTAGTACCTCACTTGATCTTGATTGTATCCCTCTGTTAATGCGATTTAGGATTGCATTAACTTTTTTGGCTGCTGCTGCACATGTCTGGCTCATATTTAGCTGGTTGTCCACTAAGACTCCACGATCCCTCTCACAGTTGCTAGTATTGAGCCTGGTTTCACCCAGTCTATATGTGTACACACATATTTACACACATTTAGTTCCCTGTAATTTGTATGGGATATGCAGCTTTCTAAAGTTGGGAGCACTTGTAAAGCAACCCTGAATAAACTCTGTTATCAAAGCTAGTATTTTGTGGGTTTCTGTAACTCATGGATGTTGGAGTAGAGAAATGAATTGGGAGCATCAGAAAGCTAACTTCTGGTCTTCCAGGACGATCCAAGGGAGCCCATAGAACAGTGGCAACTTCAAGATAGGTGGACTTCAACTCCCAGAATTCTTCAGCCAATAAGGCTGGTTGGGGAATTCTGGGTGTTGAAATCCACCTATCTTGAAGTTACCAATGTCAAGAAACATTGACCATAGAGACATTGATAACAAAATTTCTCTTTCATTCCCAGATGATACCACGGGGTGTTTTTCAGTGGATGTGGGAGAGGGAATGTGGGTCCCTTTTCAATTCCACATATTTAAATACAAGTAAATTGTTTAACAAGTTCTAATCACATTTCCTTGGCACTACTGGTGCTTGTTTTTTTAAAGGCAAAATATGGGAAGGCAGGAGCAGACGACGTTTGCTTTTTCAACTAGGCCTTTCCCCGTTATTCAAAGCACCTCATACCAGGAGTGATAAAAGCTGCCTTGTTAAATTTACAGACTAGTTTTTCTAGTTCCTGTGAAACCACAAGGCTAGCATTGTCAGAATCTGTGCTGACTTGAAGACACTAGCATGAGGTTAACTTTGGTTGCAGACATGCGTAGTTTTGCTTGGCTTGTCTCAGTCTTCACCATCATCTTTGCGGTTTTGTTTTGTTTTCAGGGAGAATTTTATGTTCATCTCATTTATTTATCCATCTGTTTGTTTTCTATTCTATTGAGTTTGGGACGGGGGGGTTGCATTTCAAGAGAGAGAGAGGGCTATCTTACTTCATCCCCATTGCTGAGATCCACCAACAATTATTTGAAAAATGTAGCTTCGCTTTTATAAGGACAAGCAACTGAGTTATGCAACTCTTGATTCTAAAAGGGTCCTTGCAAATGTCCCAGAATTTCCCCATAGCAACTCATGCAGCTGGGAAATCAGAAGCAGCTGTTTAATTCTCCTCCTCCTCCTCCTCCTCCTCCTCCTCCTCCTCTTCCTCCTCCTCCTCCTCCTACTAATGACACAACAGTGGTGAGACTCATCTCTGGGATAGGATGAGTCTGCCTACCGAGATGAGGTGGACCGGTTGCTTTCGAGGCGTGGAGAAAATAACTTGGTCCTCAACACCAATAAGACCAAGGAGCTTAGAGTGGACTATAGAAGGAACAGATCAGGCATCCAGCCCTTGCTTATCAATGGGGGCCAAGTGGAGCAAGTGGCCAGTTTTAAGTTTCTGGGTGTTACCCTAAAAGAAGACCTGACCTGGGATGCTCACATTGCAGCCCTGGTCAAAAGGGCCCAGCAGAGATTAGACTACCTGAGGCTTCTCAGGAAACAACAACGGAATTAAAAAACTGCTGGTGACCTTCTACCGCTGCACCATGGAGAGTATCTTAGCTTACTGCACCTCTGTATGGTTTGCCAATTGCACAGTGGCAGATAGGAAAGCACTCCAGAGGGTTAATGTCATTGCCCAGAAGATCATTGGTTGCCCTCTCCCCTCTTTGGAAGAGCCTCTTTATAGCTCCCGCTGCCTTAAGAAAGTTCAAAACATCCTCAAAGATCCATCTCATCCTGGGCATCCCTTATTTTTGAACTATTACCATCTGGCAGATGGTACAGGACAATAAAAACAAGGACAAACAGGCTGAAAAACAGCTTCTATCCCAGGGCAGTAGCTCTTTTGGATTCTTCTGTACAGTGCAATGTGGTGCGGGTATTGGAGTTTTCAATTCAATGTGTGGAGTGTGGAGAATGTGTGTGTTTATTTTCATAGTCATACATTGTACACTGAAGATGGTATTTAATTTCGTTGTACAAGGTGCAATGACAATAAAGTAAGCTAAACTAAACTCCTCCTCCTCCTTGTACTTCTTCCCCTCCTCCTTTCATCTAACTCAAATTGCTCCTATTCCTTTCTAGCTCTGAGTCGGTCTTTTGACATCTTCATCAACAAGGTGCCCCCCAAGGACTGGAAGAGGTTCATGAGGCTCCTCAAGTTGACCGACAATGAAATTGACTCAGCAGAAAAATCTTCACAATATGGGAATGAGCAGCATTATCAAATGCTAAGGACCTGGCTGGACAAGAACGGCCAGGCAGCCACCTTGAGTGTCCTTCTGGACGTGCTCAGTGGCATGGACTTAAAGGGTATTGCGGAAGAAGTCACATCAGTTCTCATTGCTCAACATTTCTATGTGTACGAAGAGTAGGTTCTTGGCTCCTTCTTGACCATCTTGAAAAATGAGAAGGAGTGGCTAGCTTCTTCTCACCAGGGCATATATTGTTTACATTTTAAACTAAACCAGCACTGCCTTTCCCCAAGAAAGTGTGTTTTTTTAATTTAAATATTGGTAGCTAGGACTGTGCTGGACATTAGACTCAAAATATGCTTTCAGAGAAGATGTGGATTATGGCAGCGACAATCGCTCCCCTGTCCTTACAGAAATTGTGTCCTTTCACAAACTTTGCCAGGTCACCATTTAATCTCAGGAAAATACACCCTGGAGTTAAGGAGGTGCCAAGCCGTTGCTTAGATTTTGTGCTTTGGGCTCACTTGGCACTTCCTTTCTTTATTCAACCTGGGTTTTCTAAGGATGCACAACTTCTCTTTAAGCCCCCTCCCCCCCAAATCAATTTCTTTAATTTGGCTTTTCAGAAATTATCAAGTATTACTACACCAGTGTTGTTTTGGACGCTGTTCCGTTTTTTTCAGTACAAATGATGTTTTTTTTCCCCCCATGAAAGTTATTTTTGATGGCCAAATTGATCTTTTTCAATTATCAGTATAAATTCTGTATTTTTTAAAATAATAATAATTTGTCTTAGGCAAATTTGGATAGCCTTGGGGGGGGGTCACATTTTTTTGAATGTGATGTGAACAAAAAGAGTTTAATCATCTTTGTACATGTGTATAAAGTGTTTGCTTTTAAATCCTGCTGCTATTCAACAACAAAAGGAACCTCCACAAATAAGAACAATCCTTTCACTTGATGGGGCTAGTATTTCCCATTCTGTTGACACTGTGAAGTTTCTCATACGTTTTCTGCTGAATTGAATTCTCCTGGGTAGAAAATGTCAAACCTTCAACACGGATTTCTTGTGTCTACGTCTCTGGGTGCTGCGTATAGAGGGGAGAAATACTCCATCCCTTAATTCAATACAGCAGGGGTCCCCAGCCCATGGCCCACGACCCACTAGTAGGCCGTGGCCTATTTGCAACCGGGCCACATATGAGTGGTGTGCTGGTGTGTAAGAACCTGGAAAGGTTGAGGTACGCGGCAATATAGTATATTATGGAGCTCTCCTTAAGAGAATTTCTTCTGCAAAGACTGGAAACATTTTCTCTTCTTTTTAATTCAGGGAAAATTAATTCTTTCAAGAAATGAAATGCTATGCCCGAAATTATTTTCCATCTCCTTTGGAACATTTCTGTAAAGAAAGGATTGTTCTTAATAGCACTATGGAGGTCTCTAGGAATCTCTTTTCGTTAGGAAATTTGAGAAGAGAGGACAGAAGGATTTCCAATTACTTGTTTACAGTTTAGCATTAATGCGCATTCTACAGGGCAGGATCCAGATCATCAGCAAGAGAATTAACTTTTTAAAATAGCCTGCTAATTTGAGTTCCTTAAAAATATGTGCCTGTATTTGCTGCTGAAAGGTCAAAATAGGGGCATTAAAAAAAGAAAAGTGCTGATCTTTAAAACGAAAGTGTTACCAAAATAATAATAATATATATATCTCCCCGGTAATTGAAGTTCTTTAATTGCAAGGTCCTATTTCTGGACCTTGCATGGTCCAGAAATGTGCCTTTGTGCACATTTGCAGTAAATGTGACACGGGTTTTATTTATGGCAATTTTAAAAACATGCTTATGAATATTTTATTTTATAAATTATTAGTCTGGACCACAAGAAAGGGGCGATTTGGCCAATCGCACTCCGTGTATTTACAAGCAAATGTTTGAGGTTGTCAATTGTGGAGCTCTGCTCCGTTCCCTCGGTCTCATCCTTCATGGTGAAGGACAATTTCCATCGATCCTTCTTCCTGGGATTAATTAAAAATGCAAGAAAATCACCCTAGGAGAGACATGTCCCACCCCCTCCCGTTTTCTTCTCCCTGATGAAATTCTCTTGAAAAAATATGCTTATTATTCTCAATGTATTGAGCAGATAGATAAGCGATTACTCTAAATTCGACGTTGGAAGTGATAAAAACAGCTAATAACTGGGATGGTTAAAATAAGCCCCCACCCTCCACTAACCCACCTCAATTAGGGAATATATCTATCTATCTTGATATGAGTGGTGCTGTGGTCTAGAGGGTGGAGCTATTGCCTCACAGTCAGGAGGCTGTGAGTTCAATCCTAGGTAGAGGCAGGTATTTCTGGACACAATGAGAATTTATCTGCTGAACAAAAGGGCATCCGGCCAATCTGATCCAGCTGTGATATGTTGGGCAGGTTCCTGGCAGTTTGTTCCCATTTCTAGAGACTTGATGGAAAGACACTCATACAACGCTTCCAAATAAGAGGAAGGGAAGCAGGGATAGATTGATCGCCAACCCCCCCCCCCACTTAATTTATGTGAAACCTCACTTGTTGGAATTTTTTTTTTACAATGGTCCTCTTTGGTTCCATTTAAAAATTATGGTTTTTTTAAAAAAATAAAGCCTCCCCCCCCCATAGATTTATAGGTGTGAGTTATTCCCCCTTTGGGGTTTGAACTATGCTTGCAAAAAATAAAATAAAAATCAGGACCAAAGTGACTTTCATGAGTGAGATTTTGGCAACGTGAGGAGCGGATTTTTTTTTTTAAAAAAAAAAAACCTCCTAAAAAGCTACAATTTGTGGCATGCTTCCACTGAGCTTGTCAATCGGTCCATCGGGATGGAATCTTTTGGATTAAGTTGGAATTCCAAGAAAAGTTCAGTTGACCTTGACTTCACTGAGATCTTGCAACATCTTGGTTTTTCCACCCCTTTTATCTGTGATACCAGCTCTCCTTTGAGGCTGTAGTGAGTCAGTGCATTCACATCCCTCTTGTTAGGGTCAAAGGTGGCCCCGAAGTTGTGTAGAACCACCGGCCTTCATGCACTGCCCTCCTTTCGGTGTTGAATTCGCTGCTTTTGACATGCCACATTTGATTCTGGATAAAGACTATTCATGTCTGATAGTTGGTTTTATTCAGTTCTCTCTGTTCCATGTCATGGCATTGCTGTTTGGCTAGCTTAACTGTGCTAGCCCTGCGTCCTTGATCCCGGACAATATTTGAATGACAGTGTTAGCACAAGAGGAATTAGGTGGGATGGTTTCTGCCCATAGATAGTAGTCAACAATTTAATTCAAGAGGGGTGGGTGGGTGGAAGGAAAGCAGAGAAGATTGCAAGGTTGAGTGGCCCTGCCATCTTTCCATTCCCAGAAGGACCGTCCAACAGATTCTTGGGTGGACAACTGGATAAGCCTCAATATCCAGATAACTCAGCTGTGACTTTACACGGTGACTTACAGTTTTGAGTGAAAATAACATGTTTTTTTTTTTAAATAAAATCAGGGTGAATTTGAATTTGCCTTACTCTGTGGCATTTCCAGAGGCCAATAAAAATGCAAGAGGGCCATGAGAATGTTTATTCGGTATGGAATCACTGCAGCATTAAAGAGAAGGAGGTGCATAATGATAGACCCCTGAGCCAGTTTTTAAAATCTTTAAGCCTCCTGTGTGCATTTTGCATGTGGTACGTGACGGAAGTCCTGATGACCAAGTCCATCTGATTAAATTTTTGTGGATTTGGAAGACCTGTAAATCTTTGAGATTCAACTTATTCCTATCCAATGTATTGGCTGAACCCATAGGATGGTAATCTGCTTTCGTAGCAGCTGGGATCTGGATCCTGCCAAAGGTAGAATGCCATGTTTGTACTCGAATTAGGGAACAAAAGAAGTGGTGTAAATAGTTAACCTTCAAATTGAAGTCTGCTTCAAAGTTGTATCTGTTTCTAGATATTTAAGTTTAAAATATTTTTTTCCGTTTTTTTTCTTTTTTTTTGAATGTTTTGTTCATGTAAAAATATCAACTTAAGTATTTTAGATAGTAGGATTCTTTAAAAAAAATAGTATTCAAGTTTGTGTAAATCCTTGTTTACAGACTTGCTTTTTTGCCTCTTGTGCTTTGCAAGTTGCAATGAAAGCAGATAATTGTCGATAAAGCTATGGTAAATTTCCGTTTTGCAATAAACAAGATTTAAAATTGCTCACTGTTGTACAGTCTGTTAAGATATATTTCTACTGTAGTTTTAAGCAAACAGAAGAAATGTTCTTTTCTTGTTTTTGGTATTAACTTTTCTCCCTAACGTTTTGTGTTCTTCATCGTTGAAAACCCTCAACAGCCCTCCCCCCAATGAGAGGGAAAAAGAGGATGGGAATCAAATCTTCACTGGATTCAAATTTACCATACTACTTAGTGGTGGGATTCCAATTTTTTTTACTACCGGTTCTGTGGGCATGGCTTGATGGCCGTGGCAGGGAAAGGATACTGTAAAATCTCCATTTCCACTCCACTCCAGGAGAAGAATACTGGAAAATCCCCATTCCCTCCCCACCCCAATAACCTGCTTTCCAGCTCCATTCTCCTGTGCAGGGCAACCAAAGAAGACCCAGTCGATCAGCTGGGGCTCGGGAGGCAGAGAATAGATGGGGTTGGCAGGGCCAGTCAGAAGTGGCATTTGCTGGTTCTCTGAACTACTCAAAATTTTCCACTACTGGTTCTCCAGAACTGGTCAGAACCTGCTGAATACCACCTCTGCTACTTCTGGATTGTTTCTTTTTTAAAAAAAATGAGGGGTTAGTTTGACTGTCTGTATACTCTCTTCTATCTTGTATCTACGTGACTCAATCAAAAATTTCAGGATATGAGCAAGTGAGCTTTGTGCTACAATCCTGAAGTCAGCTCCAGGTTTGGGACATAGGGACTAGGCAGGTTCCCTTTAACATGAACCCAGCAGAAAATATGAGACCAACTATTCGCCCTCTATGGGAGTTGGGCTACAATTTTCAGAATTCCCAATTGACATTATTTCTTGAGTAACTGTTAATTAATTTACCTTTGCAATTCACTACAAGATGTGCTGGCCACCAGTTTGGCTGGTGGCTTCCCAAAAAATTTGGATTAGTTCATGTGAGTCAGTGCAGTGGTGGTATGCTACCGGTTCGGCCCGGTTCATGTGAACCAGTAGTAAAAATCACTACCAGTTCAGCCCAGCCAGCAATAAAAAAAAAAGCCTCCAATCAGCTGAAAGGAGGAAAGACTAAAAAGCGCATGGGAGGGAGGGAGGGTCGCTCCTAGCTTGTTCTGACCCAAGCCTTGTTCAAATCAAACACAAGGTATGTATAAAAGCAAACCTTTTTAATGTGGTGCTGTGAATTCTGTGCATTCACAGCCAAGACTCATTCAAAACTAATTGCCCCTTTCAAGGTTGTGAAAGGCTGCCAAGAACAAAATACCAATTGTAGATAAATATCCAAAGCCAGAAGTTTCCAAAAAACAAACAAACAGAGTAAACAGGGCTTCAACGAGGACTCTGAGTAGAAAGAACTTCTTTGCTTCCTGCAAAGAAGCCAACCCCGAAGGCTGGCTTTTATCTCTTATGGGAGGGGCCATCACCTTCCAGCCTTACTCCCAAGTCTCCCATGCTGCTTCAGCTGCTCTTTCCTTCGAGCAGCCCTGTGCACATGCGCACTGAGCACAGGCTCCCCAGGGTCCTCTTCGTCACTGCTGCCAGACTCCACAACATCCGATGGCAGCACCCCACTCTCCGATAGTCCTGGCCCCATCCCTGCATCACACTCAGGCCCCTCATCTGAGTCCTCGCTCTCAGAGACCTCAGCCATCTGCATGCGCGATCACCCACTGAACTGGTAGTGACTAAGGTAGGATCCCACTACTGAGTCAGTGGCTATCAGCAATCAACATCTGCCTCTGAAGGCCATCTGCTAGAAGACTAGTGGGGTTCCTTCTGCAGTTGGTCAACCACAGTGAGAAGATTGCTGGGTTGATCCGGCAGGGCGCTGCTTCTGTTCCAAATGTTTAAATCAATATTTCACACTTTGGAAGTGTGAAACCTTTTATTCATTTGCTTCCTCCCTTTCCAACATATTGAAATATTGAAAATGTCTTGAAAGAAGTTGGGCAGTGAAAGGCACTCTCCTAATAATTAGCATCCGATATCCAATCTATGGCAGGGGGCACAGTGGCCTATTGGTTAAGATGCTGGGCTTGTTGACCAGTAGGTAACCAGTTTGAGACCCAAATGCTGTGTGACAGGGTGAGCTCCCGTTTGTGCCCCAGCTCCTGCCAACTTACCATTTTGAAAGCATGCAAATACAAGTAGATAAATAGGTACCACTACGGTGGGAAGGTAACAGCATTCCATGCTCTTCGGCATATGGTCATGCTGGCCACATGATCATGGAAGCATCTTCAGACTACGCTGGCTCCCTGAGCAAGGAAACGGAGATGGGCACCATCCCACTGAGTCAGACACGAGTGTTCAGGGGAAACCTTTACCTTTATCCAATCTACAGAGTGAAAGGAAATGTGGTATATTCTGTTTGCAGCCATTATATCAGTTCAGACTTGCTACCAAAATTGATCTGTTTCTCACATTGTGATAAACCATTATGTGATTTAATTGCTTAATTCT